AAATTCTATGAATCAATAGAATTCAAAGAAAAAAAGTTTATTAAATTTGGCTTGGTAATTACTGATATATCTTTACTCAAAGTTTTAAAAAAAGTTAAATCTGCAGAGGGGTATGAATAATAAATTTGAGGGGTATAAAAACTGGCCCCCTAAATTTTTTCAATAAATTGATTGACAAAATTTTAAAAATCTTTATTAGTGGGCCAATCATATAGTGCTAGACTATGATAGTTAATTATTTGGTATCTAACACCCCAAGTATCCTATTAAATCTATGCTGCTTGTGTAAGTTATAGTAATATAGGCCAATAATAAAACTTTGGGCCAGGGCTGAAGCCAAATAGTTTGGCCTAGCCAACCAGGTTGATCGTCTTATCAAAAAAGTTCTAGCCAATAAAATCGCAGAATTTTATAAATATAAACACATGTATATTGTATAGCATAGGAGATATTCGAATCTGATGATTACCAAATAGGGTGAATTCAACACTCACAATGTTCATCACATTGCCGTCCTATAGCAAAAAAATAACAAAATAAAAAGATAAAAAAAAGTAGTAAATATAATAATTACAATAATTAATTATAAAAATAATAATAATTTTTTTCGTACACCAGTTTTGTGTAATATTTCATACATCAATTTACGCCTAGCCTAAATTTAGGGTTAGTACAGGCCAGAATTATGTTAATGCTAGTTAGGGTTTTTTAGTAAAAAAACCTAGCCAGTATTAAAAATTTTCTGGCTTGCACTAACCCTAAATTTTAGGCTAGCCGTAAATTGGTATACAAAATATTATAAAATATTACACAAAACTGGTGTACAAAAAAAATTGCCATAAAAATAATTGTCGCAGATGATGCTGAAAATGGATGATGATGAAAATCATGTGATTATATGATGATCTTCTGTATAAATAAACGTATAAACAAACCTAAAGTGCTTATAGAACCCTAGCATCATCAACTAAAAAATTTCACTATTAATGTTAAGGTTAAAGTTTGGGTATGGTCATATTTTAGTTACCCTAGTGAAATTAGAAATAATATATGCAAAATAAAAAAAAAACCTTCCATATCCTAACTCTAACTCTAACACCAATAGCGATAGTAATGCTAGGTTGTTTATGCAGAAAATCATCATGTGATCATATGATTTTCATCATCATCCGTTTTCAGCATCATCCACAACAAGAAATTTATTTTACCTATAAAGTATAATACCCAGTAAAATATTTATATAAAATTCTATATATATATTAAGATTAGGGTTAAATTTGAAAATATGTATAGTTATATACAAAATTAGATGTTAAACAATTTTACTTAAAATACCTACATATAGTTACCTTAGTAAAATTTTTGAAATATTAAGGATTTTTGATTTTTTTTCTTATACCAGATATTATATCCATCAGATACAAATAGTAATTTTCTAGAAATAACTATAATAATTAATTATAATTATAAAACTAATTACAATTATTAATTATAAAACTAATTACAACAATTAATGTAATTAAAATAACATAATTATTTTTACTTTTGTGTTGGTTTGGTGCTCTGAATGTTAAGTTCAACCATAATAACAACACTAGCCCTCTCGGCCCATGTTTTTTCTGTTATGAAAGTCATTTATTGCAAGATTGTAATCTAATCCTTGATTACAATTTCTTGAGGAATATTTATCATCTTTCCAGCAACGAATACAAAAATTCTTATATTCAAAGGGGATACTCTATGTTGAAACTCAATTTCAAAAAAATCAAAAAAATGTAAAGTATAAAGAAGATACAAGTTTGTAAAAATATAAAAAGAATATAAATACAATAATAAAAATATGATGGAAAAGCAATAAAGCGTAGGTAAAAAGGCGATCCTTATATATATATATATATATTTTTTATCGGATGTCTTTTGTTTGTTGTAAATAAACGCGAGGTAATTATCAATGCAAAAAAAAGCAATCTAATTGGTTAATATTCGCGTACCGATTTTAGTGCCGTATATAAGACCCGGATCTGTTAATATAATATAATACAGCAATAACCGCAAGTACAGTACATGGTTTGGTGCTTAGAAAAATATTTTATTTGTCATAGTGATGTTAATACTGGGCATATATTTGTTTTAATGTTTCATTGTGTGATTAGGTCTTTGGATGTAATCATTACTAAGTATATTTGGATAGATTAAAATCGCATATAACCATAAAATGTCAAAATCTTGGATCGCAATAGTTATTATAATACTGGGTGCGAACATTTTATATACGACAATTTTTGATTAAATCGATCAATGTACAAGTTTTTATAATTGTCGACAAGCTAACGAGAAAATAAAGATAATTAAGACATAAATTGATCGAGTAGGATTCAGTGTGCTTTCGATAATCACTATGCAAACGAATCTCAAGAAGATCTCATTCCTGACGTACTTTGTTTAGAAGACAAAATATACCACCGTCTATTGGATTATACTACAAAAGAAAATTGGAAATGTTTTCGTCTAAGACTGTTTTATGTTAAATAAATGGTTATTTCTAACTGCTTAATTGGGGTTTGTCAAACAGTCCTCAATCCAAATTAACTGTTTCGGAGGACGTCATGAAAAATAGAATACGAAAGTCTTTGACGTTAACAGTAAAAGATCCATGCCCACATTTGGTCATTTCCTGTAAATTATGTATAGTAGATTTTTTAATTGTGATTCTTAATATTTCTTTCTGAATATAAGTTCTTTCATATGCATTTATTAGTTTATACATCCTGATCTAATGCTTTCGCTATATGGAAATATTCGATTATCAGAAGACAAATTACATGTACAAACATAATTTAAAATGCAAAAAAAAATTTCTATATAAAAATTCGTTGTCTCGAGCTTTGACTTTCTTTTACGCAGTATCAATAATTTGATTGGCTGATTATCACGGATAATTCTAACCAATCATACAAATTTCAGGCTTTTTAGATTCTAAATTTTGGTCGATCTCAATTTAACTTCCCTACAAGATGGGAATGTCTGAGCCCAAGGAATGTCCAAATATTTTCCTGTGCCCCAACCATAAGTCACAAGAATTATTTATTGCATAGAATTTTGCTTATTGAAAAATACTTATTATCCTTTTAACATGAGCAGCAGTTCAGGTTTTTCGTTCTCACTGAATGTTACTTTTTTTTTTATGTCGGCTTTTATTAGTTTTAATTATAACCTTTTCATAATTTTTTTTTTTTCTCAAGATTCCGACGATTTGTTTGCAGATTTGAATGTAAAGACGGCAAAACCCTCTCATGGGAGCCGTATCATGTCCAAGAACAATAAAGTTTCACTTGAAGAACTTGGCATTAATTCGGATCGATCTGTCATAATACCTGCAAATAATGAATCGTCTAATTTTTCCTTATTAAATTCACCACCATCTTCCGCAAAGCTGAAAGTGGAAAGTATGGAATTAGAACTTAAAAGAATGGAGAACGAATTGAAACAAATAGTCGATGTTCAACTTGTAGTTTTTCAAAAGCGAAATAAAATTCATGGGCAATTGGTGGAGGTACGAAAAAAGTCTCACCTGTTGACTTTTAAAGATTTTAAAATTTTCTTATAACGATCCTTATTCGTAGTTATGGAAAACATTGAAAACATTAGAAACAGATCAAGCGAATGCCTTAACAAATGAAGATTATGTTCAAGCAGATAAACTTACTCATGATATACAAGAGTTAAATAATAAAATCAAAACTTTTTGTGGTGTATTACCCGGAATAGAACAAACTTTAAATGAATTGAGAGAAAAGCAAGTTAAATATTTAAAAAGTCAATCTGAAACAAACAAAACTTTGGAAAAAGAACTTGTAAAGAAAAAGGTAAGTTATATAATCAAAATCTTATGAATATATATATATTTATTCATCCTAGGCTGAAATCTTTATTTTTTAAAGAAAAAAGAAGAGGATGCCCATAAGCAATATGCTGTAGATATGGAAAATTTACGTAATATTGAAACAAAACAAATTAACGAAATGCGAAAAGAAATTGATAAAGAGAATAGGTTTTATTATATTTTGAAAATATTGCAATAATAATGACAACAACAATGATACTAATAGCAACAATAATAATAATAATCATATAGTGAAATCGTCTTCGGATTAGATATCTGGAATAAAGGTGTAGCTGATCTGAATGAAAGGATAGAAGAACGTGTTCGTGATGAAAAATTGGAACGTGAATCGCTGTTAAAAAAGCGTGAAAACGTTCAGGTAAATTATTGTATATAAGCTTAATAAAAATGTAAAAAAAAAAAATAGAAATATTACCTTTAAAATAATATTGTCAATTTTATTACGTTCTATTATAGACTCAAATAGCTGAGCTTTTACAGCGTCTTGAAAAACTTAGGGCAGAAGAAAAAAGTTATACAAGGCAAATCACAGATATTGATTTACAAATTGAAAGTATTGCTAACGAATTTAACGCGGAACGAGATGAAAATTCCCGAGAAAAAATTGAATTAGACAGAAGAAAACAAGAGGTTGATAATAAAACAGTATGTACCTTATTTTGCAAATAGTTGAAATAATTTATTAGAACCTTTTTTGCTTAAAAATATTTCGGATGTAAAGAGACATGTAGAAGAAACAGAAACTCATTTACACCAGAGACTTGAACATTATCGCAAGAGACAAGAAACATCACAAGTGCAATTGGAATCATTAGAGCAACGTATTAGTGAAATTAGATTGATGGCTAAATCATATCGTGAAGAAGCTATCGAAGTTGAGAAGTTGATAGAACATTTAAAGCATCGTAGTCAAAGGGATAATGATTGTGAAAAAGAAATTTTCGAGTGAGTGTAAAAGGATATTCTTTTTCAAGGTTGAATATACTTTGTATTAAAACATGATTATTTAGTATACGACTACAAATGGAAGAAAGTGATACGGAAGTTAAACGATTAACTTCAAAGGTGATGCACGATCAACAAACTTATTCTAATATTAAACAGGATATATCAACGATAGATACCCAAATACCAGCCTTGGAAGAACAAAAAAAGTTGGCTGTAGCAGGTACTTCTATTTACAGTTCGCTTTTAATATTTTTTTTATTCAATTGGATCTCTTGCAGTATAGATGACCTTTTGATAAATACATTATTAATCAATTGATTATAAAATGAGGTCTTCTATACTGCAAGAGATCCGTGCAATTATCTATTTGATATAATAGACTTCTTGAACTTTTAATACAGGACGGGACTTTAAATCCGCAGGCCGTTTAGCCAATAGAATAAAGGATCTTCTGTCGATTCGTGATGAGCGAACAAAATTTTTAGAAACGAAGCGTGAAAGTTTAGAGCGTGATCAAGAAAGACTAAAGGCATCAAGAAAAACATTAGAAGATAATACGACAAAATTAGCTGAAGCGGTGAAAAAAATTGGTAAGAATTTTTTAACAAAAAGTTTCAATGTTATGCGAAAGTTGCAAAATTAAAATACAATATTAATAATAGGGGCAGAACTGGAAGAAGAATTACAGGAATCCCTTCTTCAATTACGGTCAAGATACGATGTGTAAGTTCATTTTAAAAACTCTTTTAATCAGAACTTGTACTATGGCAAAAGCTTAACAACTTATTGAATTATAGAGCTAATCAACAAAAGCTGAATTTTTTGCAAAGTTTACTACAAAATGAAATACAAGGAATGGAATGTCGCATAAATCACGTGCGCATGAAATACGGTATTAATGATGAGAGGGGGTCCTTAAAGTAATCTGGGTTTACTGACCGAGGTAGTTTGCGATATGATTGGTTAATTAATACTTGTTTCAACATTATAATCATAATAGTAAAAATTATAAAAAATTAATTTTTTTTTATTACAGTAATTTAATAATCATAATATGAGTTTGGTCAAGGGAAAGCCTCGTCATCGGGCTTTTAATTATATTTTGTCCAGTTTGTTCTCTGAGTACTGTCTAGGGAAAAATCTATCATCAGGCTTTCAATTATATTTGTGACAAGTCATTACAAATATAATCGGAAGTCGATTTTCCCTAGACGGCACTCAGAAAACACTGGTCACAAAATATAATTGAAAGCCCGATGAAGGTTTTCTCTTGATCGCACTCGTGTAATAAATTGTATGATTCATATTTGAATGTTTATTATATAGGGGTGTAAAATCAAGCAAAGTTTTTTAATAAAATTTTAAATTTTGAATAAGATAGCATGCACTTGACTAAATTCTGAAATTTGGTCAAAATTTTTTAAATGCTCTCTGAGATAATAAATTTTATCTAAAGCACAAAATTACAGACCTCATTATAGTCACAACCATGTTATAGTCACACTATTTTAAATTTAATTCTTTATAGCCATTATCGTTATAACATAAAATTTAACCTTTATATAGTCACAACTTCTTATAATCACCAAATTTTGTGATTATATCGAGGTATGACTGTACCAATATTATAAATGTTTTTTAACGCTTACTAGAAGTAAATTCAGCGAGTATGCTATTGTTTTTAATAATTGATATTTGGTACTACTAATGTTAGTAACAATAGTAATAATTTTTTTAAAAAATATATATATATTTTGTAAATTTAATAAAATTAAAACCAAAGTTTTATTAATTTTAAAATCAGCTATAACAAAATTACTTAATCCCAATTTGATAAAAAAAAACTATTAAATTTAGTTAAATACATAGTTGTTAAAATATCTGATATTTAAAATAAATATAATAAATAAATGATTAGTAGTCAAAAAATCATCAATATGTCAGGATCATGATTGCCTTGAGCCCCTAAAAACGCAAATAAATTTAAGAGGATAAAGTGACCACTTTCAACTTATTAACCTTATTGGCTTCAATGTTGCGTGTAATTAAATATTTAAAGTCAAAAAAAAAAAAAAAAAAAAAATAGAATCAACGAAATCCAAATATCATTGGTCCTGAGCCCTAAGTCTTCCAGAAATCAATCCAGCACGATCAAATGCATTGGAATTTTTATGAGCAGTAATCTGATAACATGTGGCACTACCTTGTCGAGAAATTATAGTAGACCATGCTAAAAAGATTTCCCAGATTCTATTGTATGTTAGAGTGAAAGTTAGTAAAAAAATGCAATTTATGATCGCAAGCAGATGTACGACACGTACCGGAACCACCTAAAAAGAAAAATAGGCAGTTAGGATTAAGTATTGAAAATAACTAAAAGGATTAGAGATTGTACCCGTCAAGAAAAAATTTCTACCCCGAATATTATTAAATTACCTGATTATCCAGACAATTTATTATTGCTATAAAAATGTTTACCCGGGTACAATCTCTAAAAAGGATAGTAACACGAACCTTTTTCCATATTTATCAATAATAGTATCTTTATTCTTTAGCCAGTTTTGATACCAACGAAATATGGTGCCAGAATAATGTACACCAATGGTATCAACAGTTTGAATTTCAAATCCAGCGCACTCCAATTGATTAATGACCCAATTCAATGGACAAGAGGCATCTGCGCCAGGAAAGATGTATTTTGCCATAAATAAACCCCATATTAAATCTTCATATTGCCATGTGCTATAAATTTCATGCAAATATTAATAAAGTGAATACATTTCAAGCAAATATTAATGAAGTGAATAAATTTCATGCAAATATTAATGAAATGAATAAATTTCATGTAAATATTAATGAATTTAGATTTCATAAATAATCATAGGTTACTTACCGACGAAGACCTGCTATTTGTAAAAAGAACAAACCATCATCTTCAAGCATATCTCTTACTTGAGATAGAAATGAAGAAAAAAGCCTAACACCAACGTGTTCAGCCATTTCAAGGCAAGTAATTTTATCATATTTTGGGCGCCTTGGAATGTCACGATAATCCATACAAATTACACGAGCTTTTTTATCATCAAGACCATATTCCTTAATACGATTGTTACCAAATTCAGTTTGGTTACGACCAAGTGTAATTCCCGTGGCATCCACATCA